GATCAGCTGGGACTCGGGAGGCAGAGAATAGATGGGGAAGGGCTAGTCAGAATTTTTACTACCGGTTCTCTGAACTACTCAAAATTTCCACTACTGGTTCTCCAGAACTAGTCAGAACCTGCTGAAACCCACCTCTGGTACTAGCCCTCAGTAGTGTCTCTTAAAAGAGTCAGAAAAACCAAAACAAAGTATCTCTTGTTTGCTGTCTATCTGAACTGTAAAAATTCAAATGCTCACACCAAATGGATACCAAAAGCTGTTTGCTGTCATCTAAAGATAATCCTTCCCAAAGAAGATGTTGAAATGGTGGATAAATTCTGCTTTTTAGGACCAACTTTCTGCTTTTTAGGACCAACCATCAACACTAAAGGAATAAGCAATAAACCTCCTCCCTCCAAAATGCTGCAGGCTAGCACTTGGTAGAGTAGCCATGAGGACCTTGGAAAATATATTCAAATGTGTTTATATCAACAAGGATAAGAACTGTGCAAGCCATAGTATTCTCTGTAACAGTGTATGGAAGGGGATTTTAAAGAAGCAGGATAGGATGAGTATTGATGCTTTTGAACTTTGGTATTGGAGAAGATGCCTGAGAATATATGGAAAGCCAAGAAAACCAATGGACCATCAAGCAAATCAATCCAGAGTTCTTACTCAAAGCAGAAATAAGCAGGCTCAAATTATCGTTTTTCAGACACATTAGGTAAAGATCCAGTTCTCTGGAAAAGGCTCTAATTTTAAAAAAGAAAGAGAAAGAAAGAAAGAAAGAAAGAAAGAAAGAAAGAAAGAGAAAGAAAAAGAGAGGAAGGAAGGAAGGAAGGAAGGAAGGAAGGAAGGAAGGAAGGAAGGAAGGAAGGAAGGAAGGACAACCATCAGCAAAGTGGACAACCATCAGCAAGGTGGATGAACTAAGTTATGGTGAAAACTCCTGGTCTCTAGGAGTCAAAAATGACTTGATAGCAAATAATCATCACCAAAGATCATCCCAATTTTTTCAGTTGAGATATGGTAGCCTTTCAGATTTGGTACTCTATCAACCATCTCCTATTCAAAATCTCATTTTCTGTTATTGTAACATAACCGAAAGGGGGAAAATAAATTCCAATTTAAATGGAATATGATGCGGTTTTGAACTTGATGATGTTTTGTCTTGTAAAGAGTCTATGATGCTTCATCATCATATGATGATGATATAACTAATGATGTGGGAAAGAATTAGACCAGACCCTATTGGCCACTTTAGCATGGTTCTCATTTCCACATGACATTTTGATCTTGGCTTCACTGGGATTTGACACCTGGGTTCCATAGCGTTATTTGACCATGTAATGCATGACAGATGTTTCCTGAGATGCTTGCCAGATGTTAAGCAGCATCTTGTGTTTGGGGAAAAAAATCAGAATTAGCATTTTATTGATAGAGTGCTAATTCTTGGATATGTGTATTTGCATCTGTGTTTGTGGAGAGCATGGAGAAAGAAGTGGCCTGGTTCCTCTTTCTTCCATGCCTTCAGTTATCTTGGATATGGAAAAGAAGCCCATGTTGAAATTGTTTAGAGAGAGGGGAGAAAACTGATCAGGCTTTGAAAATTAATAAGATGTTGGTTGATCTGTCTGATCTCATTTAAACAAAATCTTAATTATACGGGTCCTCTTATGCCCCCATTTCTTGCTCCTGCCACTAATCCACCCCACAAAGATGGATTGTAAACTAGACCTCCCAAAAAAGTTTTTTTTTCTGAAGGAAAAACTTTGAACATCTCCATGTAAAACAAAAGCAAAGCAAGTATTGAGAAGGTAGAATACACTAAAATCTATCTATCTATTTATCTGTCTGTCTATCTATCTATCTATCTATCTATCTATCTATCTATCTATCTATCTATCATCTGTCTGTCAAATCTATCCATCCATCCATCCATCCATCCATCTATTCTATTTATCCTGTAGTATCTATCTGAAACTCCTTTCTTCCTATCTTGTTTCTGGCTCTCCCCCTTAGATTTTATTATTTAAAACATGAATACTGTGAAAACCTTGATGCATCCATTTCCACCTCTGGCTAATTGCAGGAGAATTTCCAGAAAAACCCAAAGCACCACTATATCCAGTGCTAGAACTTTTGCACAAAGTTATGATAATGAAGTCATTCTCAGTAGAGCACCAAAAGTGCTGTTAGTTAGTATTTGGAGGGCAATAACAACAGCAATTCCCAATGTTCCAAAGTAGATATAACCCATATCTTTGTCTCCTTAAAGACAATGGATATGTATCTCCCCACCTACCAAAGGAATATAAATGGCAATTGATGGTGAGAGAGCCTGATTAACGTGGGGACCACGGTGGGTTGGGAAGCTCTTGCTGAGACTCTGGTGAAAATCACACTCATGAGTTTGTTTTTTGTCACAGAGAAGGCTCCTGTGACACATTTATCATTGATAAATTCACTTTTGTTTCTCCCTTGCTATATTTTCCTGCTCAATTACATGCTGCAATCAGCAGCCTGTAATTCTGCTTTCATTCCTGTCCTTTCAGACTGTTTGGTGGTCACGTTTTGTATGTTGGGCTTGCACGTCCATAGTTGTAATGATGTGGACAAGTAGCAGGTTGGTCTAATTCCACATAGAGGAAACCATGTTTGCTTGCTGAACCTGCTTGCCAATCTTTTCCTCCACACTTTCACTTTCTTTTGAAAGCGCCAGTAGAAAGTTGACACAATCTGGTGACGTTTGGATCAGAGGAATGGGCAGAGGCAAAAGCCATCCTCTCAGTAGCGAAACCCAAGAGTTCAATTCCCCTTGCCACTTTTGGTAACCATAGTAACATCCAAAGCATTGTTTTGTCACTGAAAAATGCTGGAAATAAATAAACAAAAGCAGATTTAAAAAAAGAATAAATGTGAATGAGATTTGGAGGCTTTGGTGGATGATGTACAGCACAGTTGGGATGGATAACAAAGAATATTTTCAGGGTTGGATGAGAGAAATGGTCTGTGAGAATAGAAAGGCCGGGAAGGGGCAAAGGGAGAAATTCACATAGGTTCAAAGGTTTCTGCCAAAATAGAGAGAGAAAGAGATGGAACATTGTTATTTCCTTTTAAACATGATAGCCAGAAGCACAGATGGAAGTTTGAACCCTCTTTTTCTCCTCCACCCCAGATTATGCCTCTGTCTCAGCTGGAAGGATGGGATGCAACAGGAGACCAATGCTACAGAGTCTGTCACAACTGGAAATGAAGCAGCTGCAGCATCTGTTAATCTCCGGTTCCTGCTGAAATCCCAACTCTTGCACAATAATTAAATGACTATGTAAAACCCCCCAAATCCTATCCCTCGTTTCATTTGGCTGCCTTTCCTTCTCTGTTTTCTGTCTTAGATCTCTCTCCAGGCCTTATCTCTCTCCCCTATGAAGTTGAAATTCCAAACAATGCCTTACAGAGCCAAGTGTGTTTTCATCGAGTGTGGACTCAGATGTTTTGAGGTATAAGTATTAAAAGATATGTAGTGAAATAGAGATGCTTCTAATAAGTAGGAAGATGATTCTAATAGGTAGAGAAATAAAGTGACAGATACATACTTGTATTCGATACGTATGTTTATTTACGATATACCCCATTTTGAAATCTTACTTTCATAGCAAAAGCTGAAGTAACAGAAATTAAACAAAATAAAACAGGATAACAGAACAATTCCAAAGGAGAACAAGATTTTAACTACATTGGTAAATTGCCCTTTCATTGATCACTTAACTCTAAAAAGCAGCTGAAACAGCTCTGCAATATTAAATACCTGTGAAGAGATATTGACTGTCCGAAGATTACATTATTCCATGGTTACCTGAATATATAATAAAGTGTGTTTTAGCAGTATATAAATTATTTATGATTTTATATATGTATGTGTGTATGTATACAATCAGATCTAATAAATAATCTATAGTCAATAATACTAAAACTCTCATTGTTTTTACCTGTTTGTCTGTCTGTATCCTCAAGGCAGCACAAATAGTGCATTATACTGCAAAGTTTTTGAATCAAAGTACATAAAATCTGTTAATTTAAAGAATGCATAAAAATCTGGAACCCATTAAATGTAAAGGTTTCTCCTGTCCAGTCACGTCCAACTCTAGAGGTTGGTGCTCACCTCTGTTTCTAGATGAGGGAGCCAGTGTCATCCAAAGATGTTTCCATGGTCATGTGGCCAGCATGACTATACGCCAAGCAATGCTGATACCTTTCTACCAAAGTGGTACCTATTTATCTACTTGCATTCCATGCTTTCGAATTGCTAGGTAGGCAGGACCTAGAGCAAGTAACAGAAGCTCATCGTGTGGCACTTGGGTCTTGAACCAGGTCCATCAGCTTTCTAGTTGACAGGTTCAGTGTCTTTAACCCAAGTATAGGGTCCCTAACCCTAACCCATGGTTGAAATGCTACTGGTTCGCTCCGGTTTGGGCGAACTGGTAATGATAAAACTATGGGGAAGTGGTAGGAATTTGGAAGTCACTTCCATTCCCACTGCTTTTTTGCCTATCTGTGGTCATTCTGTTTATCAGTTTAATAAGTAAATATTGAAGTTCCTTTCCCACTGCAATTATTTCTCTATTTATGATGTGTACTGTTCATAAATTACAGGATTGTCCAACATTTGGGTGACAAAATGTGGTCATGGCCTATGAGATCTGACTTTTGGTTTATACTGCATTTTAGGGCACAAATGAAGGGGTAATCTCATAAAGATATTGGGCCTAAACAATTTAGAGATAACGAAAACCCTGATTAATATTATATTAGTGTTGTGGAAATTAATTTTGAAAGCTTGAAAGTAGTGTATTAGAAATATTGGAGAAGAAATTAGAAACATTTGAAGAATACTTTTTTCTGATTTTAGCCTGTCAGATCCTGGTGGTAGTGATGATTAGCACTTAATTCCTGTCAGGGTTATTTTTCCATATTCTCCTCCAACATTATTATTATTATTTTTCCATTTTTTGTAGCAGAGACTTTCCTGTGTGACAAGGGAAGATGGAATAATACAGAATGATTCAAGTTTTAAAACTAGTGAAAAAGTTACATTGGATGCAAGGTAAGGAAGGCTTTTTATTCTGTGCTCATTGTCCTGGAACTGGAGAAAAGAGAAGAAAGTTCCTTGATTTGAATAGTGATTTGAATTGGCTCATTTGCTCAATAACTTTTCTTCACAAAATCATTTCCTGGATTGGGGAGGCATCTCTGGAAAGCAATTTGTCCTATAATCTTGATACTTTCTAGATCTATAAACCTATAATTGCCCCATTCTTCCAGATCTTTTTAAATTAACCTCACATCATTACCATCTCATTGGAAAACCTAATATAAAGAAAGAATGGAATTTTCTATGGTTAAAATATTCTCTAGAACATGGGTCCCCAACCCTCGGGCCATAGACTGGCACCGATCCATGGCATGTCAGAAACCAGGCCGCATAAACAAGCAAAGCCCCATTCCCCAGGATGCAGGCAGCACACAAAACCACGCCCCCTCCAGTCTGCAGAAAAACCTCTCTCCACAGAACTGGTCCCTGGTGCCCAAATGGTTGGGGAGCCGCTGCTCTGGAACAGTGTTTCTGATCTTGCAACTTTAACATGTGTGGATTTCAACTCCTAAAATGTTGAGTGGGAAATTCTGGGAGTTGAAATCCATCCATTTTAAAGCCGTTGAGGTTGTGAAACACTGCTCTAGAAAGTAGTTTAGGAGCCTTGCAATTTTATAATCAATTTGGTGATGCTTCCAGTGTGGTGTGGAATCATGCATGTGCTCCATCACTGGAGGCTTTTAAGAAGAGACTGGATAGCCACTTGTCTGGTATGGTACTTGTTATGTATGTAGATTTTGGGTGGGCAGTTTGAATTAACTGACCGCCAGCTGATTGGCTGACCACCACAGCTGCAAGGTATATAAAGGGAGCTGTTTCCCCTGGTCAGTTGCTGGGTTCTCACCATACAATAAAGAGCTGTTGTCACGTACTGCCTGGCTTGCTGTGTCCTCATTCACCCAACCTAACATTGGCGACGAAGGTGGGATTTTGAGGCCAGAAGCCACGGAAAGAGCCGAAGCCACGAGCCGACGAGAGAGCTGCAAACCCGAATCCAGCCAGGCAAGCGAGCGGAGTACTTGGAGAATCTACCGACGATGTCTGTCTATGTACCGCCAGCGGCTTTCAACCCAACGGAAGAGAAGTGGGGATCCTACAGGGGCTACCCGACGTGCGGAAGAAAGCCCTGTTCCTGAGCCATTGTGGACCCAAGGTGTTCGATATGGCTGAGGCCCTGTTGGAACCAAACTCGGTCCACACCATCTCGTGGCAAATGCTTCATACACTGCTGAAGGACCACTACGCCCCAACGCCATTAAAGTATATCCAACGGTTCGACTTCCGGCAACGGCTGCAACATGAGGGAGAATCGATCAGCGAGTACGTCGCCGCCCTGCGCAAGGCTGCAAACCAGTGTGAGTACCGAGACCTTGATGAGATGCTGCTAGAGCAACTAATCTGCAGAGTGAGAGATATTCATTTGCAGAGAAGATTGCTCGCAAAGACAAATCTCACACTACACATCGCACTGGATGAGGCGAGGGCTCATGAATCCTCCTCCAAGGCAGCCGAGAGACTACAGGTGACGATGCAGAGCAGAACGGCACAGAAGTCAGCCCCGGTTCACCAGGAAATTGTAGACACAGGGAGCAAGGAAGAGACGGACAGAACAGTACCGGCAGGACCGAACAGTATCGGCAGGACCGGCGAGGCTACGAGATGCCTGTGCGAGTTGTGTGGGACCCCATCTGCGCCAGACCTGCAAGTTCTGAGACGCCATTTGCCGGCAATGTGAGCGGAAGGAGCACATCGCTAGAGTCTGCAGATCCAAGGAGAACCCCCATTACAAGCCATGGAGCAACGCTAGCCAATCAGAGATGGTGCAGCGGACGAGAACCAATCCAAAGGGCAGCTATAGGAAAAGCGCGAAATTCGAGGATCTCGAAGCCTGCACCATTCGAATCGGCCGGACCTGCACATCCCCCGGGGAGAAGACCTACACGACGGTCGACATCGAGGGGCATGAGTGCGTAATGGAGATTGACACCAGATCCCCAATTAACATCATGTCCTGGGACAAGCTAAAGAAGGCTGTCCCCAGCATCCAGAGACGACAACTACGGCACCAGCAACTGGGACTGCGCGATTACCAGGGGAACCGCATCCCTGTGGAAGGTATCAGCGAGTTCCAGGTGGAGTATGGGGAATTCCGGGAGAAGCTTCCCCTCACAGTGGTCAACAGAAAGCTCCCAAGCCTCCTGGGCATGGACTGGTTCAGAGCCCTGGGCATGGGATTCACCGGAGTCCGCAATGTGTGAAGCACCCTGAAGGATGACCTGATGCAGGAGTTCCAGGACGTGTTCGATGAGCGGCTCGGCAAATATGTGGGGACCCCTATTTCATTCAACCTTGACCCCAATATTGCCCCCATCCGGCTGAAACCCAGGAGGGTACCTTTTGCCCTAAAGCCCAAGATCAATGTGGAACTAGACAAGTTAATCAAGCAGGGGGTGTTATCATGCTCGACGGGAGACCCCAATTGTGACCCCCGTTAAGCCTGACGGGTCTGTGCGCATCTGCGTGGACTATAAGTGTATGATCAATAAGGCTCTCCAACAGAGCGCTTACCCGTTTCCGATCGTACACCATCCGCTGCATTCCCTAGGGCCCGGCAAGATCTTCGCCAAACTCGATCTTGCGCACGCGTATCAGCAGTTGCCGGTAGATGGCGCTACCGCAGAGGCACAGACTATAGTGATGCACAGAGGTGCCTTCATGTGTACCAGACTCCAATTCGGAGTCAGCATAGCTCCCGGACTGTTTCAGAGCACCATGGAGCGACTGTTACAGGGGATCCCCGGGGTGGTCCCATATTTTGATGATGTGCTCATCACCGCAGAAGACGAACAGCAACTAGGGGAGAGACTGAGACAAGTCCTAGGGAAGTTCAGAAGTGCAGGACTCAGGGTCAAACGCAACAAGTGCATGATTGCAGTCCCTTCTGTGGAATTCTTGGGGTATCGGGTAGACGGAACCGGCACACGCCTCACCGAGAGCAAGATTAGGGTGATCCAAGGGGCCCCCACCTCCAAAGACAAGGCGGAACTGCAAGCGTTCCTGGGACTATTGAACTTTTACGCAATTTTTCTAAGGGAGAAGGCAACAGTAGTGGAGCCCCTGCACAGAGTGTTGGTCACAAAGTCCACATGGGTTTGGGGGAAGGCTGAGGCTACCGCGTTTGCTGCAGTAAAGAAACTCCTGTTGGCTGAGAGTTTTTTAATTCAATACAACTCTACGCTTCCCCTAGTTCTAGTATGTGACGGATCCACCGTCGGCGTGGGGGCCGTCCTGAGCCATAGACTACCAAACAGTCTAGAGGCACCCATCGCCTACTACTCCCGGACTCTTTCAAGCGCCGAATGGAACTACAGTCAACTTGACAAGGAGGCCCTGGCAGCTGTCTCAGACGTCAAGAAGTTCCACAAATACTTGTTCGGCAGAGACTTCGACCTCATCACAGACCATTGCCCCCTTCTGGGTCTCATCGCAGGGGTCCGACCCACCCCGGCAGTCCTGTCTCCCAGGATGACACGCTGGGCCATCTTCCTGGCAGCATACTCTTATCGCCTGGTACATCGACCAGGGGTGGGCATGGGCCACGCAGTTTGAGGGGTACCTAGCAGAGTTGGGGATCAGACACGTACTCTCCGCCCCGTTTTATCCAGCTAGCAATGGATTGGCGGAGAGATTTGTGAGAACGGCTAAGGAAGCCATCTCACGCCTAGGCCCTGGGGACTGGCAGGAAAGGATAGACAAATTCTTAACGGCCCAACACGCAACATCATGCACCGCCACAGGCAGGAGCCCGGCGGAACTTCTAATGGGGAGAAAGCTCCAACAAATCCTAGACAGGCTACACCCAGTTATTCCCCTGACAACTTCAGAGGGGCAGAGAAAAGGCTTAGAGAGTTCACAGTAGGAACGCCAGTGTTCACTAGAAATTACGGGAATGGGCCCCTCTGGGAAACTGGGACAATCACAGAGGTAACCGGGCCCAAGTCTTATAGAGTAGACATGGGAGATGGGAGGATTTGGCACCGGCACATTGACCAGTTATGGAAGCGTTTGGCTGTCGACACAGAAGACATCTTCGACGAACCGTTCCCTAGCTACCAACAGATCTCTCGACCTAACTCAAGCCCGAGTCAAGTGGAGGATTTAGCTATCGGCCCCAAGATCCAGCACAACCCCATCATGGAAGATCGACCAGCCGAAGAAGTCGCCGCCCACAACAAATTTTCAGAGGTTCCATTGGCGGAGCAGGGAGAAACAGGGAGTTCCTCTGACCTGTTCAACGCCACACCTCCGACTGAACTGCACAGGTCAACTAGGGTGCGGACACGCCCTGGTCACCTGAGGGACTACGTATGCTAATGTCCACCCCAAGTGACTTCTGGGAGGGGAGGAGTGTTATGTATGTAGATTTTAGGCGGGCAGTTTGAATTAACTGACCACCAGCTGATTGGCTGACCACCACAGCTGCAAGGTATATAAAGGGAGCTGTTTCCCCTGGTCAGTTGCTGGGTTCTCACCATACAATAAAGAGCTGTTGTCACATACTGCCTGGCTTGCTGTGTCCTCATTCACTCAACCTAACAGTACTGTAGGATCTCCTGCTTGAGCAAGGGCTTCCCAACTCTGTTATTCTGTTATTTATTTAAGCAAGGGAGATACAGTAAGTCACAGTTGCCTTTAATAGCTAAGGCCAAAATAAAAACTGAATTTGATTTATACTGAATTAAAAATGCATGTAATTAATTTAATGTGGCAAATATGATTACTTCCCACATACTTCATAGCTTTTTCTTTTGAGTGTTTTAACAATTTCTTGTCTATATCTGCAATGCCTCCAGCCCAAAGTTTTCAGGATGGGTACTTCTGATGTAAATGAAGCTGTCGGGCTCTGTAGTAAGGGATCCAAAAGGGGGAATGGGTGCATCAACACCTGAAATAAAATGCAAGAAATAGGAAACAATTGAGTGGGAAACACCTAAAATCATAGAGTCAGAGAATCATTGGGCTGGAAGGGATCTTCTATTCCAGCCTCCTGTCCAAGGCAGCAGCCTTTATATCATCCTGGAAAAATGGCTATCCAATTTTTTTTAAAAAGCTCCAGCGATGCTAAGATGCTAACTTCCTGATAAGGATTTCTAATTAGAACTTCTCATTTCTGATTCACAGGTGACCATGGATGCAAGGGTGGAGGTATAGACTACTTGGAAAAGATCTGGTGTGTGTGTGTGTGTGTGTGTGTGTGTGTGTGTGTGTGTGTGTGTGTGTGTAATATTGAATGCAATGAAAAAGCTGATGGTTTTGTGGGGAAAGAATTTCACTAAGTAATAATTAATAAAACTGTTGAAAATAATTGCTTCATCAAATGATTGCAGTGCAGTTCTCCCAGTTATATTCTTGGGGAAGCAGTCTTTCTCCATAAGAGCCCTTTATACCCCAGGCATATCTTCACCACCATATTATTTTGAAAACAGACCAAAACTGACCCACAAAATTGCCCAGGTCAGCTTAGTTTCCAAACAGAAAAAAGTGGTGTGGGCATTACACAAATAGTTGACTGCTATTTGTTTGTGTGTATGTGTGTACTTACTAGCAATAATATGCTGTCTTTTTGCTGTGTTTTCAAGATGGCTTAAAAATTCATTAGACAATCTCAATAATCATTAGGACCCACACATATTAAATATATATTCTGAAACAAAGATGTAACCTTAAGGGGTGGAGATTATATATTACAGCTTGGAAGCATTTTCCTTTTTCAAACACTCAAATTTCTAGAGGGGGCAGGCTGTTCCTTTCCAGATTTTGTTTTTTTTTTTAACGACAGTAGGGAGGTAGGATTAAAGTTTTGAATGTGATGTCTGTAGTGGTAATAATGAGGGATATGCAAATGCTTTAAGTGCTATTATGAATTAAGCTCTATAGAAAAAGAGTTTTAGAAGCCTAATACCACATGTATGTTTGAGTGTACAGCCGTGCGTTCTCCACTGCCTCTTCCCCTTTCCCCTTTTCTCAACTGGATGTCAGAGAGCTGGTTTCCATGGCTACCAAATGGATTCCATGTGCTGAATTATTAAACCAGACCTGCTCTTTGGAGCCATTGCCACTGGTAACAATCTCAAGTTAGGCAGGGCAGCTTGTAGAGTAAAAGCTTTTGCCAAACTGCAGGGAAACATTTGCTCTCTCTCAAACTGTTTCATTTGTGGAGGAGAAGAAAAATGTGGATGTGCCAGCACTATGGCAGCCTTTTCAATTGGGGGTTGCCAAATGACTCATATTATGTTGGAGTGCATCATAAGGTAATGAAGATTGCATTTTGAAAATGGCTACACTCCAAAGCAGCCTTCCACCCAGACACTTTCCAGGAATGTTAAGGGCATAACTTCTAGAATTCCCCAATTGACAGGCTAGCTGGGGACTGGTGGGAATTGCAATTTCAGTGCATCTGGAATGTGCTGGATTGGGCAAGGCTGCCCCAAGATTAATAGATTTCAATCTATTTAGACTCAGAACCTGTTTGACCACGTATAACTCTTCTCCCTTACATCTATGTAGTGATGATGTCAATGTTATGAGCTCTCTTGAGTTACAAGTAGGAGGATCCATCCTGACCTGACAACTGAGGACCAATGCTCTAAAACAGCTTTCCTCACCTGGCATCATTAGGTGTACTGGATTCCAGCTCACACATTTTTGGGGTCCCTCAATGATGAAAATTGAAGGCCAATTTCAAGGGGTTGGATTCAGGTTAGGGAGAGCTTCTCTAGATTATGCTTGGCACATACGTATTCTGCCAGAACCAATTCTGGTTCTGAGAATCAGGTGGGTGAGACATTACCAAGCAGTTTATAACATTTGAATCCAAAACACATAATAGTTATTGAAACATGACAGTCATTAAGTTTAAATCTAAACCTGAAAGATTTTGCTGCATAACTGAACTGTGCTAGCAAGACATCTCGTCTTAGTTTATAAATACAGGTAGTCCTGTATACAATCATACGTTTAGTGACCATTTGAAGTTACAATAGCACTGAAAAAAGTGACTTACAGTCAGTCCTGATGCTAAGTCCTTGGACTTACGACGCGAGCTCCTGATTGGCTAAGGCGCGCTACCCTCTCGGCGGGAGAACTAAGCCCTGCCATTGGCTGAATGTTTTGACAGCTATCGTATAAATAGCTGTCAAGCACGCGTGTTGTTGTTCTGTTCCTGTTGCTCTGTTGTTGCTGTGAGTTAAGCCAATAAAAGGCTTGTTAACTTCTGAGCCTGCCTCGCCTCAGTTATTCACACACACACACACACACACATTGCCCAACAGAGCACCTTGCACTTATGATAATTGCAGCATCCCCATGGTCACCTGATCAAAATTTGGGCGCTTGGCAAGCATGTATTTACAATGGTAGCAGCATCCCAGGGTCATGTGACCACCATTCATGACCTTCCCAGCTGGCTTCTGACAAGGAACGCTAATGGGAGAAGCTGGATTCACTTAACGACTGCATGAAATTCTAGTCCCAATTGTCATAAGTTGAGAACCATTTATATAAAACCACAGTTTTGCATGTGTACATAAAATAAAGCTGAAGAGAAGGATAGTTGTAATTTATTGTTAATAAATGTAATATTACTGATTGGCAAAGGATTGCTTTTAAGCTGTTTGCATGACAATTTGCTTTTGCAGAAACCTCATCCAGTCCTGTTTGTTTGTCTAGGCACATTGCATCTTTAAATGTAGCTATAATTACGTTTTAGGTAAAAAATTGGTAACTGCCAATTTGTCCTGTTACTGTTTGGCATGTCCAGTTTCTAGTTGCTATCTGAACTCCTTATTTTCTCCATAGAGAATATAAACTAAAACTTGTTTTGAATAGCAGGCAGGATGCTCATTAGCCTTCCCCAACCCTATTACTCCATGTCCATTGGATTCCATTTCTGTAATTCCCAGATACTAATGGGCACTATGTCGGGGAAAGTACATGCTGATTTTGGTTTATTGGTGAACTATTTAATGCTAGCAAGCTGCTGAATTCTTTGGTAAAATACCTGCATAACAACTGATCTTAGAAGGTAATTTATTTTTTAAGCAATATCCGCAGGATTACTGAAAAATAATACACAGCTAAATGCTTCCTTGAGTTGAACATGGCTCCTGTGATTTCATGGGTTCTCTGATGGCCTGGAAGTTCTTGGTGATCTCCCAGGACCTTCTTTAGTGCCCCACTTAGACCTGGTCAAAAGGGCTAGCAGCTATTCTCAGGAGCATTAGATATATAATTGTTAATATGCCTTTGGTTTATCTATTCTCAGATCTCATGTATAAACTCTTGCTTTAAAAGATATCTACAGCTTTTAATAAAATCAACCAGGCAAGAATAAAATGGTTTGATAAACATTTTAAATATACATACCTTTCCCAAATGATGTCTTTGGTCTGAGGCTAAGCTGAAAGAAATCAAGTGATGAAAAAGAAAATCTTGCTGGTTTAAAACTGGCTATATATGTAAACTTTTCATGGGCTAGTGTTTCCTTATAGAAGAGTCAGAGTTTTCCATCCTAAGCATATAGGGGATAGGGCCAAAATCAATATTACTTATTCCATGGAAAGCTTCTGCTGTGCTCTACAGGTAGTACTCAACTTATGACTGGTTGCTTAGAGACAGTTACGACAGTCAAAGTTATGACGGACCTCTCTGGGGCTACTAACCAGTTCCAAATTTCTGTTGGCCATCCTCCTGCCCCCATGGTTACATGTTTGGCAACTAGCCAACATTTACAATAGTTTGCAGCATCCAGCAATCATGTGAATGCATTTTACAATGTTTTTATTTGAAACCAGCATGTACTTCTGGGTTTCAGCAAAAATGGTCCATAGTTAACAATGGGTTTTCCTTTACGATTTTGGCATTTGCTTTACGACTGCCACAAAAAACCCTGCAAAATCAGATTGGTCACATGGGTGATCCACTTTACAACCATTATGTCTTACACCTAAAATGGCCAAGCTATGTTATGGTCATAAGTCAAAAACTACCTGTAATTAGTTGCTACTTTTGATAATTAAAAAAAAAGAAAGGTTAGTTGTCAGTTGATTTTTAAATTGTATATCTCAATAAAATGTACAAAACCTGCTTTAGGCTCACCAGTTCAGTAGTACTGGAATACTTTTTATTTTGATTGTGAACCACAGTTATCATAGTAAAACTATCTTCTATCAAGTGAGCTGCATTTGGTAGTTCAAAAAAACATTACACTCAAAGTTATGTTATAGCTTTTTGCTAATAAAGTTCATAGGTCTTATTTCATAGAGGACATTTTTTGTTCAAAGGAATGTTTAGATAGTTCTCTCTTTGAAATCTTCCTTTACAGTAGTATAGAGGTCGGCCATTTTGGGGTGATGAAGGGCCACTCTAACATTTCTGAGAGGCAGAACCTGCAAAGTGGATAGGACCCAGTGATGTATGTGGACAAGGTCAGCTGTCGGAGATGAATGGGAGTGGGTTGGAGATTTTGGGAAGTTTAACTAAGATGACCTATTTTAGGATTGTGCTCTAGTAGTAATGAAAACTCTACATGAAAATTATGGGGAATATTGTTGTTTTTGGAACTTATTTCAGAAGGTTCTTTAAAGGCTGCGGAAAGAGGGATTGCATTGTGTCGATTACAAGTTGTCCAGCTTTACTTTAAATGAAGTATTGACCAGTACAAGTTCAATGAAATGACAGGAGGCAAAGCACGGTTTGGTTTTGGTAGAAAACATGTATAGAAAGAAACAGGTATATTAACAAAACATGATGTAATTTGAGAAAATGAACTTAATTTCAGAGCAAGTGTCAACAGAAGCCAACTCTTTATCTATTAGTTTTGAAGAATAGCCCTTTAGAAAATAAAGTCCAAAGTGATATAAAATTATCTCTGGACCTTGTTATCAAAGAGCTAAATTATTTATTTATTTATTTATTTATTTATTTTATTCAATTTGTATCCCGCCCTTCTCGTAGTGGACTCAGGGTGGTGCACAGCCAGAAGTAAAACACATACCAATACAAAATTTAAATTTTTTAAAAGAATTATATGACTTTGGGCCAAAATTTAAAACATTCAAACTAAAACCCATTGACAATTTAAAAAGCTAAAAAAAAAAAGGGGGGGGGATTCATGCCAGCCCTGCTTGATGGAAAAGAAAAGTTTTTAGGGTACGGCGAACGACCCAGAGATCCGATATCCTTCGTATCTCCGGGGGCAAATAGTTCCAGAGGGCAGGAGCTGCCAGAGAGAAGGCCCTCCCCCTGGGGGTCGCCAGCCGACATTGCCTGGCTGACGGCACCCTGAGGAGTCCCTCTCTGTGGGAG